CGAGACGGCTGGCGCTTTGGGCGCTGTGGGTGGGACGGCTGGCGCTCAAACATCAGGCAGATCAACAGAGGCCGGGACATGAAGCCTACTCAGCAGAACTATTGTGGTATAAACCTCAGGACCAGTGTGGGGGGGCTTTTGTTCACGTCACAGCTACTCATCTCCCCCATATGACGGCTGGCGCTTTGGGCGCTGTGGGTGGGACGGCTGGCGCTCAAACATCAGGCAGATCAACAGAGGCCGGGACATGAAGCCTACTCAGCAGAACTATTGTGGTATAAACCTCAGGACCAGTGTGGGGGGGCTTTTGTTCACGTCACAGCTACTCATCTCCCCCATACAGGTCTATGGGAACGCAGCAGGACCTTGAAGCAGGTCAAATACACATCAATGAGCTCAACAGCATCTCAAGCCGATATCAAAAGCAAGCGGCATTTGTCCATGGACAGTCACCTCGTGTGGGCTCTGGAGGACATCTTGGTGACCCCTTTTCCCGAGGCATGTTGGGTTCACACTGGCCAATCTTCAGCAGGATGTCCGGGGCGAGAGACGGGCTACCTGAAACACATCAAACAATACACAGAATGAGCAGGCGGAAGGTTAAAGGTCATGTGAACCTCAATGGAGAGCCTGTCACCGGGGGGTGTCACGTCTAAAATTTACGGAACGTCATTATTTCATAATATAAGTCCTTAAGTCACCGGCAGCTGCACCGTGGCACGGGGAGGGGGTAAGGGGGGGGGGCTTTTTGTTACACCACCGGCTGGGATCAGGCGTCTATTATTCAGCTCCCACCATCACATGACCCGATACAGGTTCACCGCAACACTCCATCATCTACCAAACACTGAAATATCTGATTTCGGGTGGACTGGCCCTTTAACGGATGATCTGGGGACAGCAAGAGGAACGGCCAACCAAAAGACAGAAATCTCACACAGTGATCAGCCAGCCAGCCGTGCGTGTGTGTGTGTGCGCGTGTGTGCGAGGGGCACAGCTCACTTGTTGATTGGCTCTGGTTCTGGAAACGCTCTCCGGATTTCTCAATCTTCACAAGGAGATCCGGGTTGAGGATCCGGTACCCTGGGGACGCAGAAGAGGAAATCACTGGAGACAGCGGTCACAACATGAAGTAATCGTGCACTGAATGTCTTCCGCAGCTGTAACTGCTCCGCCCCTGCGGAACACAATCCACCTGCCTGGCTATATCACCCCTCCCATGACGGACATAATCCATCCCACTAGCTTCAATGCTGCACCCCTGCGGAACACAATCCACCTGCCTGGCTATATCACGCCTCCCATGACGGACATAATCCATCCCACTAGCTTCAATGCTGCACCCCTGCGGAACATAATCCACTTAACTGGCTACACAGCCCTCTCTCTTCTGACTCCCCCTCTCCCATTTTCTCTCTC